TAAAAAAATAACAAAACTGAAAGTGAAATTCGACAGCGTCTCTGAATTCGAATGGAATGATTTGTACTCTATTTAACAATGCTGTCTCTGGTAACGAGATTATCTGGCGTCAGATGAGATAAGTAGGAGGTTCGAATCGAGTTCCAGGTCATTCAATGACCTTGAGTGACTGAAGAAAAAAACTACGAAAGATCAGGGCAAATTGTCTTCTGGCAGACATCGAAATCGGGACTTCCCGAGTGCGAGGCAAGATGGAGGAGTCACGAGGCAGAACGCAGACACGCCACCAGCACCGCAGTGATCCAGTCACGAACCCGTGACATTGCTTGTGGTTGACCAGACCCTCGTGTTTTTGCTCCCAAGGGCGACCCGTTGTTAAGCTACCGTGAAGAATGCAGCAGCTGCGGCACCTGTCGTGGTTCAGGCGTTCTTTACGCGCTGCGTTGCAATGCCTCCCTAAGGGATCACCCGAAGGGAAGAGACCACTTGACAGAACTGGGAGCAGATGGAAGGCAAATACTGTAGAGAGACACTGAGTGATGGTGTAGACTGGATTCGAACCAGCGTCAGGCTCCTGTAAACACGAGAACGAGCCGTCCAGTTCCAGGGTCTCGAGAAATATTCTGCTCCATAGGTAGGGTAAAACTGCGACAGGAAACCTACCGGGTTAGCGCAGTGGTAATGAGTCTAATTCCCGTTCTTGGCGTACCTAGTTTAAATCCCCGTTTGCGAAGCTTCTCGGCCCTTCCGACAGAGGACAGCACCTGAAAGTAGGTCGCCATTACCTGCCAAAGACACGAACAAGGCACAATCTTCTGCGGTCGTAAGCCAGAACCTCGGCAAATGCCAAGGGAAAAATTTGTCTCGGCCCATTTCTCAGCAAAACCCAGATTCGAAGTGGACATTATCAGATACAAGGCCAACTCCTTGCCGCTGAGGTAACCTTCTAGGTCGCAATGTACACTTTTCACATTCTTAACGTAATTTTGAAAATGTCGGATGAGGTTCACACACCACACACAGGGAATACACGCGGCATTCAGATGCCGATAGGTGTTCTTTTAAACATCTTTTATCAACTGAATAGTTTGAGGAAAATCAAAAGTATGGCATCCAAAAACGAATTTGGGGGGGGGGGCGCCGCCTGTACACTGATGTGGTCGTTTCAAAGGCCTTCTGCCCTTAAAGGTACCAGAAGTGGAAACCACGACAAAGGTCAGTACGTCGACAATCGAAGCCGGGACGAGTGGAAAACTTGGTCCCTTGCGTTGAGTGAAGAACACGGCGTCTGGGGATGAAGTGACAGGGGAACGGAGAAAAGTACAAGACGAGGAGCTTCATAATCTGTACTCTTTACAATATACTGTGAAGAACGTCCGATCGGGATAAGATGGACGGGGCATGTAGCGCGCATGGAGAAGAAATTCATTCTAAATTGCTTCACCGGATATTATTAAGAAGATTAAAAGGGATGATGAGATGGGTTTGGAATGTAGCACGCATGGAACAGATGGAAAAAAAATTCTATCCGGTGAAACGAAACGTATCAGACGACTTTCAAGACCTTGGTGTATATGGGATGATAATATTAAAATGAGTCTTAAAGGCACAGCGGCGGGTTCTGGTGAATAGGGTAATGAAAGGTCGTTTGCCCCAAAAGGGCGAGAATTTTTTTTGACTTTCTGAGCTTCTGAAGATAGCCTCTGATCCGTGGAGTCGAGCGTCTCATAAAATGAACCACGGAGCAAAATAAAAATGGCTGAACGCACCTCGGGGTCCACGCGACATCGGTCAGGTACTCCGGGCGCTCGTGTTTACTGACGGACGGACGAAACGAACACTTGGATGGATTTATACTTTCACCGAAAAAGCAGCTGACTGCTAAGCACCAAACATACAAAGACGCTGGATATAAAACGAAGCTGCAGGCTGACAGCATGGAGTAACTGAGGAAAACTTCCATCAGGATTGCCGTTGATTTCAACCGGGCATTACCCTCAGCTGAAAAACAGGGTGACCACAACAAACTCTCCCATCGAACGCCTGAATGCGAGCTGAAGTTGGCATCTTGAAACGCAAAGCTCTAAGAAAATGCTTGTTTCTCAATCTGGAAGTCGGCTGAGACATTTCTGGATCGGAAAGCAAACACTGGAGTTATATTCTAATGTACTATCTCGGTATTTAACAGGAAGGGCCAGGGTAAAAATATGAAGACAACCCCCCACCAAAATCCCAATGTTATTACAGTTTTTGCTTTGCACACGAGTAAAACCATGTTCATATCGCGACCCTCAGGTCAATTATTGGGTTTTCTTTTCCAGCGGTGATTCTCACTCCTCAAATGCCCTTTTACCTTTACACATTGTAACAGACCTTCTTCCCACTTCCACTTTTAACAACGTAACCGCCCTGTAATTTAAATCTTCGATCCAAATTTATGATCAGGCATCATAAAATAGACTAAATAATTCAACCTCAGGTTCTTCTTAGAATTAGGCGTGACAGTCAGTAGCGGTGACGAAAGAAGCACATTTTTAAACACCCTGTGTTGGGGTTGGGTGGGGAGGGTCAACCCGAGGTCTCGGTCTTCCTCTGCACAGCGCAGGTACTGCTTCATTCAAGACGCAGAGCGTTTTCCTTAGAATGCTGCACTTATATCGCCGATCCACTAAAAACACACGAGACCCAAAGGCGATTCGCAGAAACACGAAGTCCGTGCTCTGGAAGCAAGTTGTAACACAGTCAAGAGGGCGGCGGGACTCTCAGTGCATCGTGAAACAGTTAAAGGTTAGGAAAGTTGCGATCGACTGACTGCACAACGGCTTTGTAATCGTAAATGAAGCAAACGACTCTTTTTTAGGTGCACGAGGAAGACCACGACCGGGGAACAACAATGGTGAAGGAGCAGTGAAAGTGTTGTTTGCCCGGGGGCAAATTCCAGCGCCCGCTCTGTTTCTGGAATGTTTCTCGCTGGCTCTACTCACCTCTGACAAATCCCTTTGCGACATGACATGCGCAAGACCATGTCTCCTGTCAAGTGTATGCGGCCATTAGTGCTTCCGACACTTCACACTACTTCACTGCACTAACTCCATCAGCGGCACCCACCACATACCGAACCGTCAGCCATATTGGAATGCGACGCGGCCAGCCGACCTGAAGGCTGTTCCGAGGAGCGCGCCTCCTCCACCATAACCTTGAGTAGTAACCACAACACCAGGTCAGAGCCATCTGCAGTCGGATTCCTCCGACTGGACTGCTTCACATTGTTGGAAGACGTAATTGTCAGTCTTCCGCATACGTCCAGTACCACGGGCTGCGACTTGTCAATGAGTTAGCATGCGGACAAATTCTGAACTTCGACTGTAAACAATTGAAAGTCGGTAATTATACGTGAATTCGAATTTCGTCAGGAAAAGGGATATTTATCTTCGCTACCACATCCACGTCTCGAGGCTCAACCGACTTCTTCCATGGGGCAGAGTTCTTCGTAAGAAACTGACAGTCGCTCACATACTCAAGAAATTCTCTGTATTTTATAAAACCCGAAGGTGAAAGCCGCGTTTACAAGAAAACTCAACCGGTCCCCTAACCTCAGTCAGATGAATCCAGTCCACACACACACACTACTTCCTTAAGTTCAATTTTAATATTATCCCTCCATCTACACGTAAGTCACCAAAGTGGCTTTCCTTCCAAAATGTTCTACGCGATTTCTACCTTCGCCTTCACAAACTCGGACGTTTAACCTCTAAAAATGTTTCAAGCAGTAGTTCTGATATTTGATGAAGCGATCATTTGTACCTGTCAGTTTCAAATTTCCCGCGATGAGTGTTTCATAGTCCTGTCTTCGCCAAAACTGCAACCAGACCCCCACTGAAGCCAGTTGATTTCCCTTCCAGTGGACTACGTCCCGGAACAATAATTATCAGCGGGCGCAACTAACCAGTTGCCTAGTGCTGGAGCTGTACCTCCATGTCCCTTCTCCGCCTTCCTGATGCGAACCCATAAGCTGATCAAGTCTCACCATATTAACTCCCCTACCAGAAGCAATTGTTTCTAACACACTGCGTGTTGTCAGCAAATGCATGTAAGATGAGATCGAACCCTGGACTCCCGGGAAGAAGTCTAGAACGCCTCCAGTTCCAGGTTACGAAAGCGGCGTGGTAATTATGTGCAGACACGCCGACACGAGTTTCACTGTCGCAGGGGGGCCCCGGGAAAACTGCCCGAGAGTGGGGCGGGCCTACAATGGGTATGGCCTGCCTTCTGGATTGTAGCGCCGAGACTCTGGTGGAAGTTTGCCGACGTTTCAGAGGTCCTTCCTGCACCCATCATCAACCAGGGCGATCATCGCAGGAAGAACCTCCGAAACGTCGGTAAACTTCTACCAGACTACGCGGCGCTACAATCCAGAAGACAGCCATCTTCGTACTTACCGCCGTGAGAACCTCAAATCCTACTGAACTGTGTCGTATCGCTCGCCAGAAATAATAAAGTTAATTTTACGAGCTTAAAATATGCAAGTTCATTACAGCAAGACCATTAAGAGATTCCTGGTGAGCAGGATTTTGGGTTGTTGAGCCAACTTCTTGTAATCAGACCAGCCTCCTTCCTTTTCCTGGGGTAAAGAGGCCGAAGCGTGAAGCTGACCACTCACCTCCATGTAGAGCCGAAGTTAATAATGCGTGGAGCTATACCTCAATTTCCCCACGTGTATCCATAATCTGGAAATTTTTAGGGACACGCGGGCGCCCCATAACAAATAGAAAGTTTTCCAGACGGATGGAAGTTACAAGAACGAGAGGAAATGTACAAACGCAGAATCATTTATCCCGACCTTCGCGAAACCTTGTCTGTTCACCATCGCTCGCTTTGTGATATTGTAACAGAATTTACGTCCCAGTGACACAAATTGACGAACGCCCTGTGCATCTCAAAGATTTAATTTTAAGTAAGGAGTGTTTTGTGGGGGGGGGGGGGACGCTGCGCCAAGCACGAAAGCTGGCGAGGTAATGCGAAAGCCAGAAAATTTCCTCGTCCAGATGTTATCGACAACTAATTTCAAGTTACAACAATGAAGCACACACACAAAAAAAAAACACGAAATACTCACGCGGATGAACGGAGCGGCGGCAGTCTGTTGTTCACTGACGTGAAAATAACCGTCAGTTCCACCAACATGACTGCCGCGAGGTCTGTTTCTGTTCTGCACTAATTCACGGCGGTCTCGGACCCGCTCTGAACACAAGTGGTTGGCAGCCCTGCATCAGTGTATCTGTCGCCAGCTCCTTACCACAGTTCTCAGTCCTAGACCTGCAACTGATGACGAAAAACGTCGGTAGCCTCCTACTAGACGAAACGGCGCCGAAACTCAGAAGACACTCATTTTCATACTCGCGTTCGTGAGAACCTAAAATCTCGCCAAGTAGGTTCGGATTGCAGGGATGCGATCGTGGCATATTCGAAGGTACCAAGACATTCACAAGCCGGACGTTGCGTAACTTTGACTTTCGGGGATAAGCCACGTCGAATATCAGACGTTTCGGCAAACACTGCAGTTACGGAGAGAAAGCGTAGTGCGGGGTAAGATTACAACTGGAACGTGTACCGAAACGTCGGGAGAGCGTCGACGCGGCTGCACACACTGAACTGCAGTCACGAGAACGTCAGTCTAGTGAGCTGTTTTACTTTTTATTTCTTTTAGAAGACCCTACACCACTAAGACACGCACGGTTCTGGCTCCACGTATGATTACCCTACTTACTAAGTGCACGTGATGTTTCAGGGACAGTGAGAGCCACGCCAGTGGAAAAGTGGCCTCTTAAAAACGAACCCAGCGTGTGAGAGGAGCTGAAAGAATCAAACAGCTTGGCGCCGAAGTTAGGGGCGAGAAACGTTAATTTAAAGACAACCAAAAATGGCAGCTTCCGTGGAGAAGAGGATCTTTGCGTCATAAGACTGGGGCTTCGAACCTGGAACCATGGTTCAGAAAGCTGCGGACAACCACATCTTCAGCTGTGAGCCTGGCATGTGCGCCGCTCTTGCGTGGAGCTCGTCCGAGCGCAATTATAATTACAGAACGAAAACACGCGGGGCCACGTCGGAATCCATATGGACGGCATTATTGTTATTACGAGGGTCAACAAGTCAGCCGATTAGCGTAGTGCAGCCAACACAACAACAAGAAGTAACAATCACTCCCTCTGCAGCAAGGATTACATTTATCGCCTCACTCCAACACAGTATTAATTTCAAAGGGTCAAACCGGGTGTTCAAAAATACTTCTTCCTTACTTTGAATCTGAGACAAACTAGTGCTATCCGTGGGGGGAAAAATGTTATTTTTAACTTATATCCTTTGTTAAAGCAAACTTAAATGTGACATGGATACGCAGGGGTTTCTTAGATGTAGATTAAATGTCAGCTTCACGCTTCGGCCGCTTTACTCGTGTCCATTATTGGTCCAGACATGGCGGCTAAGAACATTATACTCCTGTCGAAAACCTAAATTAACTGCCAACAACTTTTATGTCTGATGCGACTCGGAAACATCAAAGCACGTTGACTTCTTACTCAACTTATGGGACCCGTCCCGGATCCTTGAGTAGCTTATCGACAAACAGTAATGATGGGCGATACATGGCCCAAGATCCGATTTTATGATGGCGTCTTTCAAAACATATTCATGCAATCTGACCCTCTATGATCTGAGGACCTTAAAATGTTGGTAAATTGTAAAAAAGAAAAATAATATGAAGCTCCTAATTACGAAGCTTTCTGTTATCTCGTTGCCTCATCTTTCTCAGGTCCGACCAAATGTTCTAGGCAGTCCGCCTCTGCTCTGCAAGATGGAAAATCCTGGCCAACAATCAAAACGTGTATAGGAAGTTGATCCGCATCGCAACAGAACACGCTACATTGTCAGCTAATTACAGGTTCGTTTCTAGTAACCAGTAGAAGAATAAACCCGTGTACACGAACTCAATCAGGCGGAACGACCCAGTGTTGCGTTCCTTTGTGTTGCGAGTTGTCAGTGAAACTCTCAAAAACAGACCGGATATTGAAACATCTGCAACTCGGAGCGGGGACTTCAACGTTGGACTAAGCAGAGAGCGAGGAGCTGAACGAATGTTTGTTACTAATCGGAAGTTAGGAATCGTGTTCATTCTTCTTAATTTTAGATAAAAAGACTTTGTCGTAAAAACAAATGAACGTGGGAACATAAATATCACAAGGAAAACACAGAAGCTGTGTCTGATGCTAGTACGTGTTCATTTCTCGTCACCAGACTGCACGACAAATATATAATAAAAATATAAAGGAAGCTAAATCAAATAATAAATCATTTAAAAATCCTGCAGTTCATTTTGTGGGGGGTTGTGACAAATGAAATTATATTCACAAGGAAATTAGGAGCCGATTAAATTCGAGGAATGCTTGTTACCGTGAAGTTCAAATATTTTTTCTTCCCTTATTTTGTTTCAAGAACGTAAAAATTACAAAACTGAGAATATTTGAACCGGAGGTATCGGGGTCTTATCCCAGGGTAAAGCGGATGCAGCTTTAAACTAGCAAGTACAGTCGCTGATAAGAATGCGAGGGTGTTTTACTCCCACGAACCCTACAGACCTTGGGTTTAGACACGGGGGCTGACTCGACAACTTTGCTGGAAAGCTTGAGACAAGATCAGGTACCCGCCTCATTCTCTTCACGGCTATTAAAATGGCTGTTGCAACGATGAGGAGGGATTGGATTCAGCCGGCGTGGCAGCACGCAGCGAGGGGGGAGGGTCTATAGACCAGCATTCCAATCAAAAGATGGCATCAGTTGGTAAAATATGGCTGCTTATATAATAATTGCAGTCATTTGCACTAGAGAGAGCTCATTCTTTTTGTTTGATGGCTGCTTGCTTGCTTTTAGGTTCCCTTTTCCTTCAAATCTTTATTTTTTTATCGTTTTAATAAATGGATAGTATTTTATGGGGCTAATTTTCAGATCGTGAGTGTTTAATGGACAGCCAGTACGTGCTTGTCCAACACGTGAACTGGCCATGCCGGTAACACTCTCTCAGCAACACACGAGACTCTCGGACTGCGAAGACAGAAGAAGGCGACGGAGCGAACGAACACAACAAATTCACTCTTACACTAGACGATGTTTTTCATCCGATTAATCCGTCAAATTTACGCCTGCCATATTTTCAGTATCAAAGACCTCGGGACACAGATTTGAACGAGTGAAAGGCGCTTGCTTATTCGATTTATTTAACGACACTTTCTCAAATGCGTAAGAGAAACAGTCGGAGTATCAATTGGAAATGAATCAGCCGAATGTCGAACCAAGGACCTCCGTAATTATTACCATAGACATGCAGTAGCCGGAACACTCATAGTCTGTGGAATGAGCGTTACGGTCCAGTAGTTGGCAACCCTGCTTCGTATCAGTGAGGTCCCGCGTTCAAATCTCGGCCCCGGCCCACGTCCTCGTAACCTCCAGGCAAATGACGTGGGGTAGGACCTTAAATCAGCTAATGACCGCTTCCTTCTATGTCCTTTCAAATTCATTGTTCAGGACTTAACCTTTTACTGAGTAAGACACGAAGCGCTGAATGGTATATTAAGCAAAACCTTTCTTGACAACCTACTAGTTTCTTATCTAGTCGATGAATTTCCCAAGTTTTATGCAATCCAAAGGTACATTGTGTGGCTCTGTAGATTCTTACTGACATTTCAGAGGAACATGCAGTCCACATCTTCAGAATCGAAGTAAGAAATGTTACGCAGATGGTTGAAGAAGCGTTACGTTATCAGAGCCTTGGGATGAGGAGGGAAGATTGATTCGAGCCAATCTTAAAAGTCATATACAGATGACCACAGTGGCTCTGATTGGCCACTCCCCTCTCCTAACTGTATATAAACCATCAGTCAACACGCCAGCCCTGAAGACGCAGGCAGGATGGTCCACTAAACACAACAGAACCCACACACAAGTCCACAAAGAATCACGACGCAAAAGACATCTTCACAACTGTGAGAACCTTAAATCTCAATTTGGACCACTGAGGGCCAATGGGTTTGCGAACAAACATCCGAGCCTCGCCAGAGTTGAACGTAATGATGCTATGCTATATGTACATGCACCTACCTTCCACACACTGCAAATCTTATTCTGAACAGGAATACGGAGTGTCCGATGCTGATTACAAAGAAAATAATAAGCGAGACAAAGAGGAATTAACTCAGAACTGCAAATGAGTATAAATGTACAAGTTTATTGCTTACAGAAGTGACAGCACTACAATACTGCATATTATACATATGTATACACACTTACACTTACGCACAGGGCTTAATTTGTGAATGGTGCGGTTCCAAATGGGCAGCAACATTCGTGATGTTTGAAAAAACCACACACACACATCCACGATATTAGGGCAGTCATTCACTTAACCAGTCGGTCGCAAAGTAACATCTGACTTCAACAACACAACCTTTTACGACGGAATCAGACGAACGCCTGAGTAATGATTTCACACGTTCATGTGGTACACAGCTTTGTACACTTCTGAACAGTATTGACTGTAGTTCAGAGACATCGGAAGTCGGGATACAGGACACAATTTCAACCAGATTTAGAACACAAACAAAGCCCCGCTTACACGAGTAGGAACTAAAATATCAAGCAATAAATAGGATTTGTACACAGCAACAAATGCTGACTAGATGCGCAGGCACTGACCCTTCCGTCCTTTAAGTCTCAAAGTGCTTGTAAATGGCTGTCACGTACGCCATCACCTGCTGCCAGTCGGGGCGTTCAAGCTGTATCATGTCCGTCACATTCTGCAATGACAAACACATGCAACAAGTTTGAACAAGAGGATACAAAACCTTCGTCTCTTAAAAAAGAAGAGATGATAAATGGCAGATACTAACCAGCGTTGTCGGAATACCAACAGATTCAGCCGCTGCGAAGGCGATGGTGAAGTTGCGCCGCTTTTCGCTGGGGGTGAGGGAGTCGTAAGGCACCCTCTCGGGCAGATAAGAGTGCAGGATGGCACAGAGAGCAAGTCCGTCATTCCAGCTGCTGCTGAAATTGGTGATGTCAATGTTGCGGTAGCCAATGGTTTTATTCTGGCACCACTTTAACAAAGCGTTGCGTTTTGAGCCACCATTCTTCACCAGGGCACTCAGAGGATCCTTCCGTTCACCTGAAATTAGTTCTGTAATTAAGTGAAGCAGTTCAACTTTCGGCGGCAGAACGCGAGTGAGGGAGGCAATAAATTGTAAAACTTGTGAACACATCTGCCGTGCTCTCAGTCCAACAGCAGCCTTCATGCTCCACCAGCATTGAGGATGGAAACATTCCCATCATGCACGTACGCAGATACACAGCATATATAAAATAACAAATTTAAATCCTCCCCCAAGCACACAACACATGCAAGAATTTACAATGAAGTTTTGCGGACTTCTTTCATAAATCTCATTTTGTTTAAATTGCTTGAATTTTAAGTGTTCAGGAACAATACAATTACGTTTCCTGCAACTGATGGCACAGTTTCCTGCCTCTGCCACCAGGTGGGAGTTATATATAGCCATACAAAGTGCCATAAATACCATAAATGTCAGACACAGAGAACTGATCTCAAAAATTCTTCTCATGAAACGTAACAAAGTACAGCGCAGATAATACAAATCAAAGGCTTCAAGAAAATAAAACATTTTGAAACCGTGCAGAATTTCTACATAGATGCTATGAATGTGTACCTGCATACTGCTGAAAAATCTAATTTTGTCTACTTCAAAAATGCAAACAAACCCTCCTGTTGTTCAACTCCTTCACGATCGTAAATCAATACACATTTGTGAATCTCTGAGAAAAGCTGGAATTAATGGCCACATTAAATGAAGTGAAAATGAGAAAAACAATACCATTTTTTTTAAAAAAAAGGCCTAATTAACAGTCCTATAAACACACTAATAAAAGAGACCCATAATTATTTGTGAAGTAACTGATAAAAATGATACTTATTTGCTCAGAAATGGAAACACGACATACTTAAGTCTCCGTAGCTGTTCCTGCGAACAAAGTCCATGGTCTTGCTTGTGAGGATGGACACCGGACTCGGCGCAGAAACATCCTCATCGTGGGACGCGCTCGTCTTGTCTACACAACACACCACCACAACACATCATGCACGTGCACAACAACACATGCTCTCGAGTTTGCACTTTCTAGGGGGCCATTTGGGTCTGCTACAACGGCTCATGCAACTGCAATACGAACACATTCCAGTACCAACTGTACCCATTCATGTGGACACTTGGAACATCATAAAACCCATGGATCTACCTTTAATCAGAAAGAAATTCAATCATGTGTACGACCATTCACTCCTGAGTCTTCTTGCATGTACATCATCCTACGTAACAGCCGAGACAGGCGACAGCGATGTTGATGGGGCATTGATATCACTTAAAGGGACAACTGTTCAAGATGCGATCAGCTAATAACCCAACATGTCAGAGATGTCACAGTGAAGAAGAAAAGGCGTAACATGATCCGCGCGACCGTAAGGCCTCAGCTGAATCGAGACTTCATCACTTGGGATCAAACTTTATGAAACTGATCGACTACCACAAGGCCCCAGTAAGCAAAGTTTTGCGCTTGTCCAAAATGCAATTCTGCTAGATGATAGACACAGAACAAGTTAGCACAACAGACTGAAGGCAGTCATGGTGCTACGGTAGTTACCCGCCCACCCCAATTTGTTTGATCACAAATATTTTGGCACTTTATTCATAACTTATGCTGTACTGCAGTGTGTTTCTTGAAAAGCTGGTAGTTGCTCAGCATGTAAACAAAACATCTGCATTTCTTCAGTGAAATTGAAGGTTCATTGCCATGTTCACAAAAGTCCACCATTGAACCATCTCCCTGGGTCAGTTTACACATTCAAAATTTACTGCGGGCAATAAAATCTAAAATTCAAAGCCAAAATTTCCTTACATACTTCTACATCTTGTAATGTCATCATCACCACCACAGAGAGGTCTGGAATTATCCAAACGTAAAACAGACTAGTATGCAGACAGATAGAATGACAAGAAATTCCTAGAACTTACCTGGGAGTGCATTCTTTCCCCGCAGGGGCTGCAGCTTGTTGCCACCACTGCTGCTGCTGTTGGTACCATTGTTGTTTACTTGGTTATTTGCCTGTTGCTGCTCCCTCAGCGGGGTCTTTGTCGCAGCGTCCAGAGGCTCAGACGTGAGCCGGCGCCGAGGGGACGTGGGTGTCGGGGGAGCTCCGCTGGCAATGCTGCTTAGACTCGACGTGGAGCTGCTGCGGCTGCCAGGGCCTGAAACAGAGCGCACAGTGAGGACACCTGGGTTTGTAAGTGTCTGGGACAGAGATTTGTAACTTTACAAAATGCCAACCACACAAAATTACTTACGCTCTTCTGCTTGCAAAACTACACAAATATGGCAACTGACCAAGAACGGGAGAGCTGGAAATATATGCAAAGCACGACACAATTTTGTTTCAGCAAAAATTCTTTGTGCACAACAGTACTGAAAAAGGAATATTAATTTTCAAATTGAATTTTCTGTTAACTGAAGATTTGTACAGCAAAGAGTTTGTGCAATTTTGTTAACTGTTTCCCCCAAGACGGCTGTAGATGAAAGTCTCTGACTGTTGTTACAAGCTGTTGTGGTGCAACAATGTCTGGTGCATGCACAATGCACTCTGTCTTCAGCTATTCAACCACTTCATTCCAGTTCACACCTACCCTCTGCCTAAGTCTCCTTACTGACACCTTCCCTTGAGGTATTCCACTCAAAATTTTGTATGCACCTCTTTCTATCTCACCTGTGCTACACATTAAAATTCCTGAAATTAAGAAAAATTGAGAGTTCAAAGCAAAAAGCTCCTCAATGCAATTTTCTTCATTCTGTTCCTGAACGACAAGATGTAGTGGCAACACGTATTCAGGAGATACACAGTTCAGATCTTCTGACTGATGTTTCTTGTGTTTTTCGTCGGTGCGCTCGGGTGGAAGCCAGGACTGTGCTTGTTTTCTGTTGCTCAATGTCTCACGCTCACCTGCCTTAGCCTGCTTCGTAGCATTCTCGATGCTCTCGATCAGAGACTTTACGGAGAGGCGGCTGTCTTGGCGACTGACGCCGGCCTTGTGCTGCCGTCTTACTGCTGCCATTTCTTGCTGCACTGAAGTGAGGAGAGAGCTACTGGAGTCGGGAAACTGCGTAGGCACGGGCGGGCCAGAAGTCGCTACGGGTGGGTGTTTCTGTGATGCTACAACAGACAGGCCACAAATGATCCAGATTGAAAATGTGGATGCAGAAGTAAAACTTTTATACATGAACAATTACTATCCCCCACTTTCAAATTCCTCAACTCCATAAACGTGAGTATGTGTTTGCATACAAGTATCACAGTAGCAAAGCCATTCATTCACTAATAACTGATTTTACTGAAGAAAAATCTGTTTCTAATAGTAAATTCATAGCATTTTTAATAAAATTACATGAAGTTTAATTAAACTATATTCATTTATAACCTTGCAGCCCACAAGTATAAAAAGGAAGGGTGTATGCGACCCTAGCCCTGGAAAAAGCCGAGAAACCCGATACTAAACAGTCGCCAAGACACAAAAACAGCAACGGACGCAGGCGGGACTTCGGCTTGTCATGGTGGGAAGTACGAAGAAGACCGTCTTCAGCAATGGACATAAATCACTTTTTGCACTAGAAGAAATCAATTATGGTTGCGTAGCAACCAGAGGAAAACATTAAAATGTAGCAGTGAGACCAATGAATGAAAGTGTATAAGGTTACACATGATCCACTTATGGCACAATTTTCATAGCGCCCACTCCTCTGGCATACAATGATGAGAACACATGGTTTACAGAATCAGAGATCCCGTGGCTGTCGATGTCACAAACATTACCACAGAGCAAGCAGACAAACCAGACATGGCAACATCACAATCTGCTGACACTGAACACAGAGCTGCTGCCGAGACTTACGTAGGTCGGCAGGACTCGACTTGGGCCTCGGCTGACGTTGGACTTGCTCGTCGTTCAGAGGGTAGCCGAGTGCAAATCTGGCAATGTTGTTGCATGATCTTTTCCTCAACTCTGGGAAGTTCCACCGTATATCATAAAGAGCGCGTTCCTTGGTTGCGTCAACTTCATCTTGGGGTCCAACACCGCGCATCTGTGCTGTGCCTCGACTTCTTAAGGAAGAGGTCGTGTTTAACGCAGTCTGTCGGTCCTCACAGTCATGTTCTGCGATCTTCATTGCACGAGGTGATGTTAACATTAGGATAATTTCTTTCTTCTGCAATGGTTTCTCTTTAGATTTGTTTGGTTTTAAAGGAAGTTCATATCTACTTTGCTTTGGACTGTTTCTGGCATGAAAAATGTTGGGCATTGATGAAGTAATGGCTGCACAATCTGTTTTCCAACCCAGTAACCTTGACCTCAGGTTTGGAAGAGCGAACCCATCATGTTTCCTCATCTTGCCGTTCTCACGCAACTGTGGCAGGTCAGGAACGCTAGCTGACAGAGGCAGAGATGCGCCAGAGAGCGCCAGCATATCAAAAGAAGCAGACTGATGTTTCATGGCACCATCAGTCTCTGACAGCTGTAACAAACTCGACTCACTCTTGGACAACGGAACGTCTGCATTCACAAGAGGCTCATCATTCTTGCCATCACCTACACACAGCAGAACAGAATCACTCTTTGAAGCAGACACGTGTGTAATGGAATCAGAAGTCACGTCATCTTGCTGTGCACAGTCACTCCCGTGGGAGGCAGCTCCATTTTCAAACTCAGAATGCACCACAATGTTGTTGCCAATATATATAATAGGATGTGCCTCAGTGGCTCCTGCCCAACTCTTACTGCGTGCACCCTCCGCCTTGGTCCTGTTCTGCAAGCCATTCTCGCATACTTCTTGGATCTGAGACGGGCCTGCCACAATCCCCACACTTAAGGTGGAGCAGCTCGACTCTGGCCGTGTCTTCCTTTCAGAAAATACCGTCAGACTGCTAGCAGAAAGGGGCCGAGCAGACACGTGGGGACGCCCACGTTGGATTCCTATGCTATTTCTTGTTGATACACGCTCCTGTACCAACTTTTCACCAAACCTGATATGTAACTGACCTATGAGGTGAATCAAAACACACACCCTGCAACTTATATCTCTGTAAATAGCACACAGGCCAGCTATGGTAACGTACTTCTGGCAAGTGCATTTCTGCCATGGACAGATTATGCTAATACACTACACTAAAACAGCAGAGTGTAGGAATACCATGTGAGCATCAACCTATCATCTTTGGCTCATAGCCTTATGTCACAAGCCTGCTAAAAATAAAAGGAACATTAATTTCTAATTAGTTAGAATTAATTTACAGTTTTTAACTCAAACTAAATTTTGATCTAAATTTAATATTGCTTTTTAACATAAATACTGCATTTTGTTACCAGCATTTTCTTCATCCTGCATAGTTTTGAAATATACATACATAATATAATCACAACCTGAACTACAGGAATATATATGACACATCAAAATTTTCCTCAAATTAATTTCTGTGATTATTACTGTAATTTGTTATCACAACTTTCTTGCACACTTCATCACAACGCTCATTATGTCAGAAATATAAATGCATCTAGGCCCATTCAGCCACTGCATGTGCCCATTTCCAGTATTTCTTGTTGCTGTTGGTGATAATTTATTTTGCTTTCTACATAACAAATATGATCAATTTCATAATGTTAATATTTATAGTATTATTACTAATAGAGTTACATTAACATTGAAATTAAAATTAAATTATTACCATTTTCAATTCTCAAAAAAGGGGAAATTATGAAAAATTTGGTCACTTGAATCTTTGTTTATACGCAACTTCTGGATGGCACCAAGAGTACTAGCAGGATACAAATTTTCTGTACAACAAACAAACCAAACCAAATTGTATTAACTGTCGGCAACAAGAATAACTGGTGGGCATCTGGGCATGCCCATATGCAACCTAACGAATCTGCCATTAGGCAGGCTCAGCACCACAAAATAAACACAATAATAACATCCACAAAATCACCAGAAGAACAATAACCATTATTTTAGTCCCAGGGAGAAAATTCTGGAAACAGATACATTTAAAAGAACAATTTTTTTTCTTAAAACTTTTTTATGTGACAAAGAGCATTCATTTACACAACACACTGCAATTGCAACCAAACCAAATCTACCAACCATCATCTTTAGTATTATTCCCAGCATCAGGATTGAGGCAGGTATTATAAGTAAAGTCTACCTGTTAGAAGCGTCATCTTTCGGGTTCATATTTTAACAACACTTCAGAGATCTGTCAGACTTCTAATACAATAAAAACTAAAGTTATCATGCAGTTTACATGTCAAACAACTGAAGGAAGCGGAGAATTTAACGTTACTGAACTCCTGGTGTGAGACAAAAATATAATAAAAATAATCTTTACCACTTCCTGTACCTTGAAGTTCATCGAATGTTATTTATTTACAGTGAAACATCTATCCATCGTTCCCAGAACTATCGTTTTCCCGGATGCATCGTCCGTTTTGTTCGGTCCCGGATACATCCCATATAAAATAATGTTACATTTTCCCGCTTCTATCGTTCCTCAAACTATCGTTTTATCGCATTGATCGTTCAAAAATCTTAGTCCTGGCCCACAATTTTCCCGCAATGATCGTTTCTGAGAAATTATAACGAAATTTACGCGATGTTTTTAGAATTTAAAATGCTGGGTTTTGAGATAAATTAATACCGACAGACGCACAATGTTTTTGGAATACGCAGTAGCGGTAACCTGTTATGTCGCCCAACCAGCACAGATTCTTTTGGAATGATTGTCAGCGGTGCAGGGGTCATAGTTGGAGTGAATGGCGGTGCTCATTGTCAGAAATTTTACGATTTTAATTAGGGTGCACTCATATTTCGTTCCAGCGATGCCAGATGGCATGTGCAGTGTGAATTTCTTCACAAATGCTTTTATTATAAGTACAAAGGAAAGGCGGACGGCACTTCTCATTCTTCTGGTTCATCTCGTTTCCAGTGGTTCAGTGTCTTCTACAGCTACGTTTCATTGAGTTAGGCGGTAATAGTATTTCCATTCTTGCTGTTATTGTTTGTGAAGGGGGTGGAAGTGGTGAGGAAGAGGAAGACGACGAATGCGAGCCCGAAGCTGTGCCGAGTTTTTCCGAAGCACACCCTGCATTGGCAAAAGTGAAGTCGTTCTTTTATGCGCATAATATTAGTGAACGTGACGAGGAAAACATTTTGAACGTGGAAAGGGCTCTGTTTGGCCTGAAATGTAAAGTTTCGACAAACCAGTTGTCCATTAAAGACTTTTTTGGTAAAAAGAAGTAACTTTGAAAGAGAAACATTGTTTTTTTAAAAATTTTAATGCTTTCCCGCAACTATCGTCTTCCCGCATTCATCGTTTTTATTTCCCACCCCAGCCAAAAATGATGCATCGAGGTTTCACTGTATTTGCAGGTGAAAATTTTACTGGGATTACTGAACAGACTGCGTATGTTATCCACATCTCCCCAGAAAATATGACTGGAAAAGCTGAAGAAATTAAATTAATACATGCATAAATTAGTAACAGAAACAGAACAGTTAGAGGTTAGATAAAAATTGTGCGCACGCGTCGTTGCAGGGACAGGAGAGGCCTACCTTTCAGCTTCTCGACCTGAGCCTCCAAGCCGCGCAGTTTGTCTCGCAGACACTTGTTTTCAAGGACCAATTTTTCCAGCTCTTGCTGCGCCTCTGTTTTGAAATCGTTGGCGACGCGGACAGTCATCAGCAAGTCGGACTGGAACTGGCCCCACTCAGTGCTCTGCAATGTGACATCATCAACGTGACAGAAAGCTGCAGTGCTCTACCGACCAGATGTGCTTCAACGTCAATGCCAGAAAACCCAGATTATAACTTAGGCTTTAATCCTTGAAACTTAATTCCAGTCCGGGTTTAAATATCTGGAAATGAATGTGATGATAAAAGGTAAAAAAAAAAAAAAAAAAAAAAAAAAAAAAAAAAAAAAAAAAAAAAAAAAAAAAAAAAAAAAATAAAAAAAATAAAAAAAATAAAATAAAATAATAATAATAATAATAAAAAACACACAACAACAACAGATTTTGGAGGAGAATAACCCTGAAAACCAATCAGACGCGCAACCACCACCGAGTTAACGCACAACGCACCTCTTCCTGCCGCAGCCTCTTCTCATCGGCGAGCGCTCGTTCCTGCTCTGCCAACTTACGCTCCACATCACCCTGATGCCGTTGTGTCTCTGACAGAACAGCTTTCAGTTGGCGCTTGTCTTCCAGATGGCACTGGCACTGCACCTGAAGCTCGGCTACGGACTCCTGCAGGACCTGCAACTCTGCGCTCAGCTGCTGCTTCTCCTGCCGCACCACACCACACTGATACTCCAGATCGCTCACAGCAGACTTTGCATTGTTACGCATCACCTGCACACATCACAAGTCACATTCCGTATCTGTTTATTTATAACATTTATCTCATCATAAAAATGACTGTCTAAAGTACAAGAGAATTTTGTTAAGGTATACAGGTTTCAGTTCATTCAGGCACTATCAGCGCACATTCCTGCATCAGTACAATACCTGTCTGAGTAATAACACTTTTTTAATTGTCTTTTGAAATTCTGATATCACATCAATTAACTATTCATTGCCCTTGGTGGACTAGTGGTTAACGTGCTCGCCACTGGACCCAAGGTTTGTGTGTTCAAACCCGGCTGAGGTCGATGGACTTTTAAGCGTGATAAAAATCTGTAGCACAACTTCCTTCGAAGGGAAAGTAAAGCCGGCGGTCCCACATCGTAGATGTATGACATGTAGAAGAACCTTAGGAGCATGAATGAGATATTTCGTAAACAAAATTCAGTGGCCATTTTTCACCCAAGTCTCTCCTGATACACTACTAGATGGCTCTAGTAGTCAAATCAGGACTGCGTAGAAATTGTGCAGAGGCAGTGTGCTGTTCACCCACTGCTCACAAATGTACACTTCAAAGACTAGGAAACCTCCAAAAAGGAGCCAGCAAAGACCCATGTAGAGCCAAGGAAAAAGAACAATAATCAAGTAACTATTCAGTTTTTAAAGCTGTCCTTGAATTTGAAATTTGTAACAACAGGTTTTTCAAAATAAATGCACATACGATAAAACTGTCACCCCTCTGAAGGCTACAGTTAAATTTTCTGCTAAAATACATCTGGAAAATTTGAGGGGAAAGGGGCAGGGCAACAATCCTTGGAACTGAACGCAACGTGCCTCACCTTGCACTCCTCCTGCAGGTGCGTGACTTGGTCCCGCAGGCGAGCAGTCTCACACTGGCTGCGGGACAGCTGCTCCTGCAGCATGGCCGCCTGACTCTCCAGCGCATCCTTTTCCTTGCGGGCGTTGTCCAACAGCTCGTCCAGCTCCGTCTTGTCGCCGAGCTCTCGCGCCTGCTCGAGTTCCTCAATCTGTTGGCACAAAGCTTGTCAACACGCAAAGTGCGTGATGCACGTCTCAATAGCCCCTCCTATCTTGTCCCACTGAAATCTGTGTGTGCATCTGCGATGTCTATAGACCTACACCGCAAAAAGGTCACGCTTCTCTGTGCTGCTTGGATACGCCAGACCAAGCAGCAAGACACTAAAAGGAGACCCAGTTGGGTTAAAGTCAACTTCACTTTACCTTGGTATCACCCTGGTACTAAAACTGAGGCTCGTGCGACAGTCACGTTGACGCAATTTCTATGGTGTGGAGGAAATGATACTACCAAAATTTGGATTAACTTTGTTTGAGTTTGATTTGCTCCTTTTGTTGTCACAAATTACTAGCCAACATGTTTTAATTATATGCTTGAAAATTCTTGAGATACCATTTCAGACAATGCAATCATTTCACATACGTCCTCTTGTACGTGGGTCAATGCAAAATAGAACGGCAGTAGAACAGCATCACAACTTTGCAATGAGGAAATCCTTATTAGGAATGGGAGTCGCTTAGTTCTGAGACACAACTGGGTGAAGCAACTAAAGACAATGTTGGAAATCATGCAAGTAAATGCGATTATGTTCATGTATCTAAATATTTATGACAAAGACATTCTCCAAGATCTAATCATACATATTCAATAAATTTGTAAGTTTGCTGACCATTATTTTGCGAATGCAGGCATTTCCAGAAATACATATCAACAATCCTTGCTGCAGTTGTACGAGAAAGACTGACCTTTGCCCTGGCATTGTCGAGAAGAGTGGTGAGACGGCTGATCTCGATGCTACGAGATGAGCTCTCTTCTTTTGCGAGGGCCAATTCCTGATCCAGCTGCTTGCGCTCGGCATGGGTGGCATCCACTGTGGATTCAAGTAGACGCACTCTGTCCGTCAACCGGCCTGCCTCTTCCCCCTGCACGTCGGCTGACTGCCGCAATTCTGTGAGCTGACTGTTCATCTCCTCTTGTTTCAGCAGTAGCACTTCCCGCTCCTCCTGTGCACTCTGAAGCAGCAAATAATTATAACCAAGATAATTTACACACAGCAGAAATTAATTCACAATTCCACGCATTCCGGAGAGACATGAATCTTCTTTTCAGATATGTTCACATTAGAATAACATGTGATTGATCATACACTCATATCCAAACCAGATAAATGAAAAATAACCATTATTTTAGTCTGTACTTAAAAAAAATTGGGGCTCTTCAAGAAATTTAGGAAGTGCGCCCCAATATCAAAAAACGTCATGAAAATCCATTCAGCAGTACTTGAGTTACAAGTGTATTGACGGATAGACAGACAAACATGATGATGCTAATAGGTAAATTTTTGCAACTCTTTAATATTATTATATCATTTATATTTTTCAAACTTAAAAACAGCACTTGAAACCAATTTAAAAAACCACCCCCTCCTTTTTCTGGTCTTCATATGCTTGCACCAAAGACATGACACAAGACAGGAAAATGAATTGTATTAATATTCAAAGAGAGGAAATCTAATGACGCCAAGAGTAAAGCCAAACAGCAACATCTGAGCAGTTGGCACTCCTTGGGTTGGCGTAGCTACAGAGACCAAAAATAAGCCATCTGAACAGAAGTCCAAAGCGATGATACCTTGAGCAGCTCAACCAGTTTCTGCTCGCGCTCCGTGCAGCACTCGGCCTGGTCGTGATGCAGGAGCAGTTCCTGCAGTGTGTCCACTTTGGTGCGGCTGTCCTCCAGTTTCTCGGTCTGTCGGCACAATGACTCCAACAACACACTCTTCTCTTCTGTCAGTCTTTCATTGTCAGCTTGTAGCTCCGTCAGCTGGACCTGCAGGTCTGCCAACTCCTGTAGTGTTGCCTGCAGCTCCTCATTTGTGCTACAACATGACACTCATTCAGCCCCACGTACTGATGTGTTACCCTACTTTATTGTACTGTGGGGGCGGTGCAGCATACAAATAACTGATGTCACAGACATAAGAGGAACATGAACAACAGAGTTGGAAAGACGATCGATTCCTACTCGTCTGCTAAAACTACTTGTAAACAGGCTATGATCTGAACGTGTGACAAAAGTAGCATTCATACGCAAACTATGTACTTGGATTCAACAAAGCTTCCTGCATTACGTCCCGAAGTACGACTTCTTATAAACATATTTCAGAAAAACTGATAACTCAAAGAACAATGATACAATACAGGCATCAATGTGCGTCCCAGGATACAGCCGACATATTCCATTATTCAAAATTCTGTCCTTTTAATAAGTAAAGCAAATTACAAATTCTGCATGGAATAGCATAATCAGCGGTTATAGACACGCACCTGTAATGCGTCTCCTCCATCTGCATGATGCGGTCCTGAAGACAAGCCACCGACACTTCGCTCAGACTGCTGCTAGACTGTTTATCCCAGTCAGGAGTAGAGCACGAGGTGTCAGCCAGAGTGCCATCACCCTGTAACTCTGCGGCCATCATGGAGGCAGGAGCCGAACTGTGCTGCCGAACCGCAGTGGCCAACAGAAGCTGCTCCTTCTCAGAGTCTGAGAGAGGCGAGTGGGCCACATTGTGCAGACGAGTTCGTAGAGAACCGTTCTCTGCGGTCAGTTGCTCGAGGTCCGCTCGCTGGTCCTGTGGACAACGCCTCGTTAAACTGAAGCGAACCTTGCACTTACACAAGATGCCTGCTACTGCAGTACTGTGAAGGGAAGGTCCAGACTTAGGAATCAAAGTTATGTCACATGTAAGGCAATTAAATGTGCACTGGATACTGGATAGCCGTCACCTTGTAACATCCACTTTATTCCTGGGGAAAGAAGCCAGTAACACTTGCTCGATAGACGGTTAAGGATAAGGTGTGGTAGTGTGGTAACCCTTCCTAGAATTTTAATACTGTATCTAACTGACAGTCAGTTGTTTCAGTGACTCATCCTGATATAATAATTCTCTCACAGACATGTTAATTTCTTTTTAAATAGCATGTCATGACCATAGTGAAAACATATGCTTGTATCGGGAAAAATGAAACTTTGTTTTCATAGGAACAAAAATGTATCATACAAAATGGGAAATGATTACACGCAGTTCCATACTGTTGTTTTCTTCCATTTATTTTATTATTTTTTAAATATAGCGACGGTAATGAAGGGCAGAGACCTTCGAATTTCAACGGCCGGTAGTGGACTAACCTGCAGCTTCCGCACTTCACTGCGGAGAGCCATCACCTCACTTTCGTACGCTGCGAGCTCAGCCACCTTTGCTTCCAGGGCAAGCTTCTCGTGTGTGATGCGTTCTAGTTCCTGCTGTTCAAGCATGGCACCACCAGTTGACTTACTGGATGAAGACACTTTGTGGTGCTTGCTGTCTAGACTGCTGACAGATCCCGCTCCTTTCAACGGCTGTCAGTGCAACATTTTTAAAGATTAATTTAATTCTACAGTCATGTATCTACCAGAAGTTAACAATAAAGCACGTGATCTAGGGATGTGATGACAGCGGAGATGATTTATCATTGTTCGGAAGTGTGACAGCAATGTACACGAACAGGCGTGAGTCTCCAAAATAGAAGAAGCATCAGGAAGGCAGGAAGTGTGATAGTAGTGCGTAAACAAGCAGGATGGTCCAAGTGCCGATATGAATAGAGCGCCAGGTCGATAAAACCCGCAATATAATTCGTATTAATGATGAGGTTCATAGGTTATGTTTTACTGATAAGTTTAATTGAGCAAATTTTCACGCAAAGACAATTTCAGTTTTAATTCCATGACAATCTCACAAACTGAGTTTGAATATCAACAAATATTCAGGCAATACATAAGACTGGTGGCAAACAAAACCAATACTCTGCTTCGTACACTCGCTGCCATCAAAATTAAACCACAATTTGCAGTCTTCTGGTTCTCGAACCTCGGCATAATATGATCCATACAACTGGGGGTGATACATTTCACAATTCCTCACAGTTCCACTGTTTTATGACTCCCGTGACTTTAAACTCATAGCTGTTGTTATTAATATTTGGTACTTACGGGGATAAAGAAAGAGGAAACTGGAAAAAACCACAGTCTGTAGCCATCACCAAATATTGCGAGGAGCATGAGTTGGGTGGGGCAGACGCACATCAGAAATGCATACAAAATTTTGACTGGAAAGCCCAAAGGATCATTCAGAATACCCAGGCACAGATGGAACGACAATATTAAAATGGATCTTAAGAAAATATTGTGAAGCTGTAGATTGGATTAATATGGATTTGGACTGGTTGTGGGCATGGCGTTAGTTATCCTCAACGTGACTGGCAACAATCACTGCTGAGAGAACTGGGTGTTTGCTGATGGTCCTGTTACGTTAACCCCAAGTAAACATTGCAGGTTAGGGTGTTCGCGAGGTAACAACGAACGTTGTGATTCTGATCATGAGCTGGACCAACTCACCTGTTGTTGCTGAGGGGTGGGCCCCGTCTTGCCGTTCTGGTGGCCTCCCTTCCCGCCGCCCCCGGACACGGGTCCCTGTCTGCGAAACAAGGATTTGAACTTCATCATCTTGCAGCTGCCCACTAGACACACATAACTCCACAACTTCCGTCACTCCTCACACCGCAGAACCAACTGACCCCCTTACGCCTGTCTGTCTAAACGCAACAAGTAGTTGCTTATCTCTCGCGGTGTTGCCGGACGGGCGCGATCTGCTGACGTGGTGACGCCTCGGTCTTAGGTCGACGATCACCGTCATGTGGTCGGGCTTATGGGTGCTGTGGTGGCATGGAGGTGTCTGGACCCGCTCATCAGCTAAGGCAGAACAGTTCACAACCTTCCACCCTTCCCCCCAAACGAACTGCTGTTCGATCCACGGACGCCTCACGTGGCAACATGCCCCAGCTGTTGTTACGACACGTTCTTCGCGAAATCTTAGAACTGTGCGGCGATGTTACACGGTGCGATACGTGAAGGACAGTGCCCGAGTTATCTGCTGTGACGCTGTGTGCACACGCAACGTTTCGGAGGGACATAACTGACTCCATTTTCAAGGCAGTGGCGGATTAGGTACGTCAGACACCCGCGCGCCCACACCTTCAGTGTCATGTTATCATCGTATCATCGGGGGTAAAAAACAAATCTTTCCCATCTAAAATAAAATGTTTATTCTTAGGGCCGTGACCCACCGCGACTGACCAACCCACGAAGGTTTTCAACAAACGTCATTAACGCTTACCGCCTTGTTTACAGGATTCCGAATGACCTTCGCACACTTACGCGCATTTCATAAATATGCAAAAGGCGCTTGCCCCCTTGTACACGCAGCGAATTCTGTCAGCCTTGTCGAAAATCTCTTCTCGACTTTCACGTGTTCCACTGAACCGACAGCTGTGACCAGTATTAAAAAAAAAGTCACAAGAGACTAAAGCGAGATTCTGAATCTGGAAGCTAGAAAACTCGTTTCGGACGACATCACACGGCAAATGTGGATTTTCTAGCGAAGACGCTACAAACTTAAAAGCGCTAACACGTCAAATCAAATAAAGCGACTGCAAGAACTGGATTTAACTGGAAAACAGTCTCGGTAATTGAACTCCTGGAAGAGGGACCGCTGTATTATCAGCCAGAATTCCAATAGCAACGGAATATAAACTCAGCAACAATAAGCCCTGATACAATACGACCTGCAAACACCAGAAAAACAACACCTGAGGCTCTCACGGTGACAAGAATTAAGACGGCCGTCCTCTGGGATGTTTCGCCGTGTAATCTGGTAGACAAAAATAGACGTTTCAGAGCAACGTACTACCTCTATCGCCACTCACAGCACCGATGGAGGCAGGAAGCTCCTCTGAAACGTCGGTCAATACCTACCATACTACCCGGTCAAACATCCCCGAGGACAGTCACCTTCATCGTGAAGATGAATAAGGGGCGACCCCCGAGGCCCATACGGTGGAGGGATTGAGGAAAACGATGGTATAGAACCTGGACTACTGAACTCAAGCGCTCCAGACAATGAAGTTGTTTCTACGCCGCTCACTCTGTTGACGCAGTCATAAGACGGTGTCACCTGGCAGCGTGACGTTGAATCGAGTCTGGCACGATTCGGATTACCGCTTATGAACGTTGTGCGCAGACGCAGACAATGGGATTTGTGTGACCGTACCGGAACTACTTAGATTTTGCATTTAATTAGAGGGTATTTTAGAGTTTCGGCATCGTTTCGGTCCGGGCTATATTTATTCCTGATCGACGTACAAGGTATTATTCCGATCTACATGACGTCATAAACGATAGGAATTTCAGATAAAGTCGCAATGTACACAAGCCCCAGCCCTGCCCTTCATTTCAACTGTGGTACTTTCCGTAATTCCGTGTATTTGCCTGATTTCCTCCAGTTTAAGAAGATGTTTGTCCTGAGAATCACACGAACCAATAAATACACTGTAGGCAAAATGCACAGAGTTGCTGAATGCAAAAGCAGGTGGTACATATAGTTACCACTACGTTTTAGAGGTTAAAGGTAAAACTGTCCCTGGTGCTTTTGTCTACACCACGCCAGGGACAGATAAAAAAACATACATTTTAATAAAAAATACCTGTGAAAGACGGACCAGTTGGGAAGGGAGAATTAAAAAACGTAAAAAGGTGTGGACTAGATTCAACTGGCTCAGGATACGATCCAGGGGCTGTGTTGCAAGTGGCACTCACCTCAGGACAGTGGAAACGGGTGGCGTTCGGCCCACAACGCGGAGGGTCTTGCCCCTGCTGCCTCGAAGTCTGCAACACACAAGGCACACCTCTGCAAGGTCACAGTGTAACGAGCGCCTGACAATGCGGCAGCATTTAAATAAATACTTGGAGCAACGGCTTCAGGGGTGGCGCCGAAATATATTAAACAGCCCTTTAAAACCTGACGGTAATTGTACATACCGCCTCCTTCAACAATCCACACCTATTTCATTTTGCATTTATGTGTTTCGTAACATTCTCACAATAAACAGCGATTATTTCCTTAAACAGCGTCAACCAGTTGATCTTTGTAATGGTGAAGTGTCGTGTTTTCTTCGCGGTACGGACTGAATTCTTAAATATTATTGAGACGAGCTTCAGCTTCAAGGGGTTAATTAATTACTAGATACATATCTATTTTCTTAAACAGCGTTAACCAGTTGATCTTTGTAATGGTGAAGTGTCGTGTTTTCTTCGCGGTACGGACTGGGTCATTACGATTCAAAATATTAACAGCGAGAGGGAAGAAGCAAGGCATGTGTACTAAATTCGGCCAGCCTAAAGTTCAAGACCTTCCTCAATTTCGACTTTATTGTTGGATGGTAACACTTGTCCCCACAGGGGAACATTGCAGACATCCGTAGCAATCGCTTAAAGACGTAAATGTATGTACCGGCGAACAAATGCGCCAGACTTCTACATTCGGAACGAAAGACTCAGGGTACAAAGGCCGCGCGTTGTCGAAGCGAGTCCAGGGCGGTCATCGACTGTACCACGTTGAGCATAGATCAACACTGATTAAACTAAATCTGAAACGGGCAACAGTCACGGAAAGAAGCAGCGCAAGAATGGCTTAAAGCCCAAACTGGAAGCGGGATCACTTCATGCAGACGTATGTGGACGTGGAGAAACAGCTTCCGGAGAGGTGGACGCACGTACACCAACCGCTGCCCCGATTCGGTCACCTACTGCACGATATAATCACGTGACCCGCATAGTAAAAGGGCGCGGTCGGATGGAAGACTACCTGAACTCGCGTTGTGGCTTTTCCGCCTCAGTAACAGCAATTTACGCATTCCTAGTACGAAATAAAAAAATAACGGAGGCTGGCCTCTAGCGGAACGATGTTAAAACGTGGAAATCTGCCAGCTGCTACGAAAGTAATTACGGAGCGATGGGAAACGAAGATCTGACAACACGAGCACATCTGTTCTGGTAAAAGACATCAAAGAAAGCGAAACATATTACGAAATGTAAAAAATTATCGTGCGTTCACTCTGATACCGGCCCCACATCTCAAATCAGCGAATGTGAACTTTTGATGTCCCTTGTGAAGAGAGTAGACCACGACGGAAGTCGAACGGTCCTCGAATTATGAGATTACAAAGCATAAACACTCCGTTCGTTTAATTATATCTAACACCGTTAGACTTAGACCCCGCGCGCACGAGCGGTTTGGGCCGGAGCGGGTTTTCTGCTGCAAAATGCTTCATTTTCGATGCGGTGCAGTGGCAAGAGAACACGAAGAACCCTAAATGTGCGCGCGCACCAGCGGCGACCATTGTTTGCCCGACTTTGGCGTAAGTGAATAGGAGAAAAGGCCGGCACTGTGCAGTTCTGCCACATCGGAGTACAGCGACAAAAGCTAAAGAGAAACTGTGGATAGAAGTCTGTGAAGCTCCACTGCAAAGCTCGAGCCAACTTGACAAAGAAAGAACGTATCTGAATAATTTCTTAGGATACAAACGCACGTCCTCATATAACTTGTGAAAATGGGCTTTCAACAATCTTTAACTTATGAGTGGAGGAAACCAAGAATTATTTCTACGCTTTGCCCTCGCAGCACGCGTTAGTTTTATCGCTGCTGCAGAGAAACCGCTAGCGCGCGCTAGCCCATAAAATGCATGGTTAATTTTCTTCTACAACAATTTTTGTTTGTTTCAAACGCGTTTTCGCTCCGATGAGAGTTACGCTCTATATGAGCGCAGACCACACGTTACGTCCTCATGCGGAAAGTTCGTTGTTGTTGTTGGATTTCAACCAAACCTAGAATTGCTCAACGGAATTCAATGTGTACGAAATTCCATGGGAAGGTAGATAAGAGGTCGTAGATGCCATGCCGGTATTTGCCTGGTGAGACTGAGAAAAATCACGAAAACCCTTAGTCGGGACGGATGGTCTCTGAGACGAGATTTAAACCTGGGAACTACCGAACGCAACGACAGGAAGGCGATGTTCGATTCGATTCGAATCACACGGAAACATTTGAGAGACGCTCCCATGTGATGTGTTTGCGCTGCAGAGACGAGGACATACGCCCTTCTGTTGCAGAATAAGGAGAGGCTCTGCCACAAATAAACAGCAAACATGGAGCACGTGACTAAACAAATTGCAGAAGCTGCCAGGGCAACGATCCTGAGGCAGGCCATGCAACCGGCGTCGACTGACTGAATGTAAACCGCGGTCGTACATTCCCGTTCAAATTCCACGTGCAGATGAGCGCATGCACCACAATCACAATCTTGCCCGAAACGCGCACACAAATGTTTCAGAGACTGGGTTTTTATCCCTGACGAAGGACTATTTGCCGAAACAGCATTAACCTACCGATAGCTGTCATGGAGACATACAATTTCTTTGAGGTGCGGACCGAATGTGCGAGCTTTACATTAGACTAATGCATAAGGTTATAGCTCCGTCCGATTTACCCCCGAGCGCCCTGGAGACTGACTGGACGCAGTGGGGAAACCAAATAATTTTCCCTGTCGGTATTCCAGCCCGCTACACTCAGTTGCAGAAGGGGATAGATAATATCTTGGAATGGCGAGATCGCTTCTGGCAGGCGATACATGTCGAAAGAAACTTTGTAACTCCGAGCGATAATCGCCATGGCATGTTTTCTTTCCTTTTTATGGTCTACTGCGCAACGCATCACAGCAGATTGTAATAAGACTACCGAAGAGCAACGCAATGATTTAATTCTCAGATATTGTAATAAACTAGCAATTCGGTTTCTTTGGTGTGAACTTACTGACGTTATAATATCGCGTATCACATGTTGCTGGTTGCTTCGGTGTAAATCCTGCCTGATTAATCTACAACTATTCTGTACACCGTCGCGTATTTCATAACCTCTTGGCCAAAGACAAACGAATCCTCTCCCGTCATCAAGCGCCATCTGGCAGACAACTGAACGACAGTTCCTTGAAGGTGGCGTGTCAGCTGCAGCCATCTGCGGGTAATTGCCGTAACTACATCTCCCGGCACAAACAGAACCCAACGAACATGTTTAAGGGAGTGTACAGTGTCTACCGACTAAGTCTGGGGCAAGCTAAAAGGGAGTTTAAAGGCGGCCCCACTACAATGAGTATCCGCGACTATAAACTTTAATTTAAAGTAAATATTTACAGCGGCACTTCCTCCATAACAGAGACCCCTATGTCCTGGCTTATAACCATCATTACTCGACTCCTAGAATTGGACAGTTTATTTGCCCCGTACCAGACGTAAATGTTGAATCGCCGTGTCTAGGAAACCAGCAGCGAGGATGAACACACGGAGACAAATTTGGCAACAAAGTAGGGCAAACTAATCACACGTGCTCTCCCCACTGCGAGATAAACACTTGATATATAGGTGTGCCATTTGGAACGCGACGGAATGACAACCACGCACTATAATAAATAAATAAATAAAGAAACAAACAAATAAATAATAAAACCACAAACAGGTCCACCTCTGTGTTAATTCTCCAGTACTGTACTTAGCATCCAAATCGTTTGCCGCTGATCGTGAAGCATTTAACAATAAGTATCCGAATAAGTTGACGCAGTCAACAAGTTAAAGGGGTTTTAACGAACAATTCTGCGCAGAAGTTGTTATATCGAAGTAAGAGGCGGGCCCTTCTCGTTCCGCCATCATCACGCGCGCATGAACAGACCGTTGAAAATATCTGCCGAACTCCGGCGTCGAAACAATTGCGCAAACTCGGACACACTTCAGCGTTACGAGCGAACTGAACGCAGAGAACAGGGAACCAAGCAACACCTCAGTAATTTGCTTCTGCAATAAACGGGCATAAAAAAAACATACTGACGGTGGAAAATTGACGAGGAATTAATCGTGACCGACCTGCTCATATCGCAGTCATGGAGACGAGTTGTGTTTTCTTTGAGGTATGAACTGAAATAATACTCTTCAGATGATCTGGGGGCTTCGAATGTTTAATAAACGTCTTATGCCGATGTTTCTCCTATTACCACCACTTCCTACACTTCTTCTATAAGCACAGGACTTAGGCAAATCTTGGCAAGATATCAGTGATAACGAATGATTAAACATAAAGTCTTTGTCATCTGACAGCTGCACGTTTATCGGGAGATAAGGCATCAAAGAGGGGCCCCGCTGAAAAAGACAATGAGCAATGCAGTTGTTCACCAACTTTTAAATTCTGCAAACAGCATAAAAACTACCGCTGACAGATAAGAATAACACAGTAATCCACAAATAAATTTCGAGTTTTATCCTCACTTATCCGTGGGCTAAATCTTGTCAAATCCAACACCCTCGCTTCCCGCCCCTTGAACACCGGCCGAAAAAGATTAGTTTCAAAATATCTGGCGATAAAAGGGCAACAGATGAAGCCACGAGATTCGTAAACACACACAATCGAATTTACGATTCTTAATGCTTCTTCAACAAACGCGCTGTCACTGCTGCCAATATACGAAGACGATTCATCATGATGAAAGAGGTCTCGCCGCTTTCATCCAATCACTAACAAAACTGAAGTTTCAAACTTTATTCAGATGAACTTCATTCTTCTAACAAGGATAAACAGCGATTATTTCCTTAAACAGCGTTAACCAGTTGATCTTTGTAGTGATTAAGAGTTGTGCTTTCTTCGCGGTACGGACTGAATTCTTAAATATTATTCAGACGAACTATGATTCTCAGAATAAACAGCGTTAACCAGTTGATCTTTGTAATGGTGAAGAGTTGTGTTTTCTTCGCGGTACGGACTGAATTCTTAAATATTATTCAGACGAACTATGATTCTCAGAATAAACAGCGTTAACCAGTTGGTCTTTGTAATGGTGAAGAGCTGTGTTTTCTTCGCGGTACGGACTGAATTCTTAAATATTAATCAGACGAACTATGATTCTCATTATAAACAGCGATTAATTCTTCAACAGCGTTAACCAGTTGATCTTTGTAATGGTGAAGGGTTGTGTTTTCTTCGCGGTACGGACTGAATTCTTTAATATTAACCTAGACGAACTATGATTCTCAGAATAAACAGCGTTAACCAGTTGAAGTTTGTAATGGTGAAGAGATGTGTCTTCTTCGTGGTACGGACTGAGTTCTTAAATATTACTTAAGACGATCTTCGTGTTTAAAACGGTCAATATGGGCGCGCAATTTTCTTCAGATGCGCGACAGTGACGTAGGATGTTACCTGCAGGGTATCGTAGTGGTCCTCGGGGCAGGTCTAGCCGTCAGAGAGCTGCTGGAGCCGGTGGACGCCTTCAGACGAGCCGAGGACGCCCCACGCATTGCCGTCCCCTGCAAGAATACGGGAAAAATTGCATGAGCAAGAATTTCGTAATTTGTCATCAACTAATGTTTATTACGTCTACAAAATCAATTTATTGGATATTCTATTATGAGCAGGCCACATGTTTCGAAGATACGAGGTGCGATCGGAAAGTTTCCAGACTGCGCGTATAAAAACCCGTACACTTATCTCAGGTATTAAATTCATCCATCACCCTCGAAGTAGTTCCCCTGGGAGTGAACACAACGATCCCAGCGCCGCTGCCAAGCCTGGAAGCATCACTGGAAATCTTTCTTTGTCAGCCTGTCAAGCACCATCTGCGATTCTGCCTGAATCTCTTCTATCGCCTCAAATCTCCTTCCCTTTAGCTTGCGTCGCATGTGGAGTTCTTCCTTTAGAATCAGCTGACAGGTCCCAACAATGTCGCACAAGTCGTTGATGGTACGACGTCGATCTTCGTAACATTTTCGGGCGTTGTGCTCGAAGATGGTCGTCCAGAATGCTCGTCATCATCGACAGGGGTTCGGCCATTTTTAAAACGTGAATGCCACCCAAAAGTTTGTGCACGACCCATTGCGGACTCCCCAAATGCTTGCTTTAGCATTTCATAGGTTTCCGTAGCCGTTTTGGCGAGTCTTTGGCAAAATTTGATGCACACGCCATTCCGAAATCGCAGGAGGGTCGGTGTAATGCACTACCAAAACGCCCGTAACTAAGAAACAAATGCTAATTCGATGATGCCGGCTGGCACACTGATTCACTATGAATGTAGGCCGCACCCCCTAGCGGGAGAAGCTCGTACTACATCCGGTTCGCCCTCTATTGACACAGTCTTGAAACTTTCCGATCGCACCTCGTATATCATCTTCAGGCGCTCTCAACATAATCTTGTTGCCGAAAGCAGTTTTATAATTTTACATCAACAAATATCAACGGAAAATATCAGAATCCACCGACGTCTATACATTTATTGTCAGCGCGCTCAGGGTACTCACTCAATCGCAGAAAATTGGCTGTCAGCATTGCGTAAAGAAGACAGGTCTGCGTGAAGCGACCGTATGTTTCTTTTCAAGTAATTAACCTTACTAATCTGGCATACGAACCTCGAATTTTGTTCCAGAACACACGGAAAGAGCAAAGTCAATAAGAGATAAAAATGGCTACTTAGTAAATGATTACAGAATTTAACTTCATGCAGAATTGGGTTCATCTGGTTCAGGACGGGGTCTACTGGCGGAATCTGTTGAAGACGGTGATGAGCCTTCAGGCACGATGTGATGATCACCTGAGGAATGACTCTGCCGCACCGAGTAAATGTAGAACGTCTTTTAAATTGGCCACGGTCACAGAAAGAGCTTCACGTTTCGTCGAATTGTCGGCGTTTCTCACGAAAGTCGCTGGTGAATATGCAATGACATAAAGTGGTAAATTAGAGGGTAATGAGGAAAGGACTGATAACGACAGGCGGGAAGGAGAAATTGTTAAAAGTTGAAAGTAATGGCAACGGATGGCAAATTTGGGTTAAGAAAGACGATAATAAATATCTGGCCGAAGTTCTTGAGGCGATGAACACGGGCTGTAACGCCACGTGGAACTGTTGGTGCATTAAACGTTTCGGAGGAACATACTGCCTCCATCTTCTGGGTTCTTTCGATGCTACACGGAAGAGGTACTAATAACACGGTTAAACCTCAGGAAACTTCTTGAAGACACCTCAACAGAATGACGTCAGAACAAGTTGAGACGGAACACCAGTCCGGATTAAAACATTGGGGGAAGTCACCGGCTTTTATCTCTCCAGCATCATCAGGCACCGCCCATTAGCGCATTTGTCCCGTCTTCTTCGGAGGAAACCGCTGTCTGTTTGCGATGCCAATTGGTTTGTTCGACAAGGCGAGGAACAGACGCGAAGCAACGGCTACTTACCATGTCCAGAACGACGCAGAACACAGCAAACCCGAGATGGGCGATCCAAACAGCAAATCGAATTGCGACCCACAGCAAAACGCCGACACCGAAGCCCGCGAATTCCAGCACTGCGATCCACGACACCGCCATCGCCATGACTGCGGGTACGTGACGTCACACAGTCACTATGAGAGGGGGGGAAGTGACGTCAGCGGTCACTATCTGCAGATTGCAACGCCCCGCTCCCCACCCGAGCGACTACTTGGGGTTTTCGGCCTTGTTTCGAACAGGAAGGTAAGAATTCCATCACGCGGCAATAATCTTCGGGCCGATGAAACGGTATTGACGAAACTCAGTTCGGACATTTTCGAAAGAGGGGATGGATGGTTATCGTAAATGAACCATTTCCGTGGAACACAGGCCTTCTTGTGACGTTCACTACGTTCCCTGCCTTCCGTAAAACGCGAAGGTTCATTACCGAGTTCACAAAAGCTCGTCACTGGACACACTATCCAGTCTGATGCGAATCCAGCCCACACGTCAACGTCTGCCGGTCAGATTTCACGACTAAAATTTTGTACGTGATTCTCAGCTCCCCTACGCGTACCACCCAAACAGTATTTGGCGAACAGAAAAATGATGAAGCTCCTCGTCATAATTTTCTGCAGAGCCCTGTCACCAGCTCCCCCTTACGTTCAATCGTACGCACGCAGATTTATTCCTTAGAAAACAATTTTTATTTGGCGACGCCAAATTTAACGAGACGAATGTTAATTTTACAGAGACCCATTCACGCATAAAGCTCCCCCTCCAACACGACGAGACAGAGCAGATTCCCCGCGCAAACGAAGGCCGGCCCGAACCCGTCCTCGCCGTGGGACGAGTCACCCATTCCCGTTGAAGGACTGCCAGCAGAGGGCAACAGCGAGAAGCCGCGTTCCCACTCGTCCATACTCGCATCCGTGAGAACCTGAAACCTCACTCAGGCGGTACTTGCTAGAGCGCGGCCCGTTGAAATTTGACGGCAAATGATTTATTTCGTGTGTTCATACTTCACCCCATGACAAGGGAAAAAAACAAGCAAATTTGTCCCGCTACACGCCACGTAGGCGCTTGGGTGGAGTGAAGTTATAGCTCCTGTTAGTTTCTGATCTCGGCACTAGATGGGGTGAGTGGTCAGAGTCACGCCCCGGCCGCGCTTTGCCACCGGCGGTTAAGAACTCCGGACAGGAGGCTGGGTGGGCCCCCCAGAGCCGGTCTGAACGCAGAGGCTAGAGGAAAAATACTCCTTTCCTGTCGAGGATCGGACCCCGGTCGCCCAGTCCGAAGTCAGTCACGATACTGACTGAGCTACATCTTGCAATAGAACAAGGAAAACGTAATCGGAGCCTGCACGACGTCAGCTTTCATTTGAACAGCATTCAAGGTGAAATTGCCTTTTTCCTTAATTGGGGCTGTTACCTAATGCAGGTCAACCCAGCGCGGAGTTCGACGCCGGTACCCAGGTCATCAATTACTGTTCGCCACCCAACACGACATTCCACGGCCGACGGGCCCGGTTCCCGTACGCTCTCAGCACACTGCTGTCGATTGCGGTATCGCAATGTTAATAGCCGGCAGCAGGTGAAACGCGGGGCCGCCAAATTCCTGTTCGATGCCCAGCTGACCTTTCGCGGCGCGGTCATTCACTGGCCGCGCTCGCCGGGCTGGCCCGGTGTCAATGCTGATACGACCAAACGCTTCCGCAAGCACGCACGCAGACAAGGCTTGAAGCCGAAGATCGTCGAAACATTAAAGACTCCTACCAGAACCTCCGGGAAAATAATAATAATAATAATAATAATAAGGCGGTTCCAGTTGCAGCCTTGCTCGTATAAATAATATTTAAGAATTCAGTCCGTACCGCGAAGAAAACACAACTCTTCACCATTACAAAGATCAACTGGTTAACGCTGTTTAAGGAAATAATCGCTGTTTATTCTGAGAATCTTACGAAACCCACAAAAATGAAAATGCAGAGTTACTGACTGTTACAGCAGGTGGTACATATAATTACCACTGGGCTGAAAAGGGACAACAGCAGAAACATAACAATATTCAGCCAGCCGGATAAATAAGCATTCGGCATACTTTCATCCATTTATAGGAAGTGTTTCGCTACACTACGTCTTTCATTAAGATCCGTATAGGCCTAACCGTGCTGCGACAAATTTTTTTGCAATTTACACGTTGTTAAGATTTGCAGTAATGTCGGGTTCACCGACGCCTGAACCCCTGATACCTGTATTTGATAATATTAAAATGTGCTAGAATTTTGCAATTTATTTCAAATTTTGTCGTGGAGGTATCCTGCCAGAAAAATGAGATGAATTAGCAAGTTCCGAGGTCAAACCCAGAACAATGGGCAGAGGTGAATAAAATCTTCCTATTACCTGAAGTTCTGGAAAATTTCTTAACAAGCATCGCAGTGTGTAAGCCGACACGCCTTCAAGGTACAGGCACAGCTTAAAGGCTACGAATTCAGACAAAACAAGCTCAGCTGAGCTCGAAAGCTTCCACCCTGTGAAATGTCACAGTCTTGCACGAACTGACAGTAGGGAGTAAGCGATGTGACTTCGCACTGGCCTCCATTAGCGTGACCTTCATACCAAATTCGTTCCACCGGCTCAAAAAAAAAAAAAAAAAATCACCAGTGGATGAGAAGCAAGAAACAACGAAACACGTTTGTCACGCTGTCCCGTAGCTAAGTCAGTCGCCTCTGCACCTTACTTTTAATAAGATACATTTTCTTGGAAACACTCCCTTTCTTGGGTCTCTCTGTACGAACTATGACTTTGCCGACGGCCACCTGCATACATGACAGACAGGACTACGACCTAGGGCTGTCTCCAAACTCCACATAAATTTCCACAAACTGCGCTGAATCTGTCCACGAAATTTTTCCCAAATTGTCCGGTGAATTAACACCGGACAAACCACGTAGCCAAAATCCCTTAACCCCAGAATTAACTACAGCAAAATGATTCTTCAGAACCTGACAGTAGCCGAAATATTTCCCGCAATTTATAGACCTCAACCGTTCGTAACTGTGATCACAGCA